TATTAAAAAAATTCTTCTCATTTTGATTTACCAAAGTTTTTTGGAATGATTATAAAAATGGAGAAGTTTTAATCAACTTTAAAGATATAATTCTAATGAAGATACCAATAATTTTTTTCTTAGAATTAGACGGATTATACAGTAAATATTTTTATTTAACTATTTTTTATGGTAACAATGATGTTTTCTATCTTAAGGCAATATATATAGAATATATACAACGAAATATTGATGCTGAGTTAGAACTATTACAAAATCCGAATATGAGAAGACATCCTCATGTGACGCTTGTGATTGGGCGCTTTAAATATGGTAAGCGTCAAATAAACCGTTTGAAATGGTATAGTAATCAAGAAATCATCTCCATTTTTAGGAAAAAAAGCAATGATTCCAATTCGTCACATGAATATTCAAGAAAGAAGATTTTTTACTCAATTAATTTATCAATACAAATAAAAATTTATGAGATCTTGTAAATGTTTATTTGTTTGTTATAGATGTAATTTACGTCATCAAATTTTATATTTTTCTAATATATATAATAGAATAAATCTTAATTTTATATTTAAAGAACAGTGGACAAACAAAAAACACCAATTCTCGGGCGAAATTCTTAGTCACCCACAAGTCGTGCTGGATACCGACTCCTTCTGAATTTTTGGGTTTTGGCCCGCTAGAATTTCTCATCTCAATATTATAACTCTTCTTTTTGTATTTGTCACTTATAAATAATTTTACATTCATAAAAATTGTTTCAAAAGTGTTTTTAATCATAATTCTTCTTTTTTACATATTTATTCATAAATTGTTATAACTTTAAGACATAGTTAATTTTATGTATTAATTCAAATTTTTGAATATATTATCATAATAATTTAATACATAAACACAATCAATTATATTTGTTGAAAATGAGTTCTCCCGCGACATCGCGGAGGGTTCATAACCTAGTAACCAATAATAGCAAAATTCTAAACAAATTTTGAGTTGAGAAAATTATCAGAACTTAAATGTAAAACTGATATGGCATGCACTCACGTGGCCGTTGAATTTT